AAATGCATAAAATATTTAAATGATAATGAAATTCAGAATATTACATGAATATTTCTTGTATGTATGTGTCGTTAAAATTACTCACTGATGAATAGTAAGCATCCTTGTCGATAGAACATAGTAAAGCTGTATTATGTAAATTATAAAATGAAATACTTTAAGCTTCATATTCGAGTCCAGCTCGTCCAAATCTATAAAGTTTAACCGACTTTATATCATATTTTTTTAAATTTTGAGCCAAAGTTATTCCGTCTGGAATAACCAAAGTTATCTGATTTTACGATATTTAAAGAATTTTATTATTTATTAGTTTTTTACTATTTATTTTACAATATATTTTACAATATATAATAGAAAATTACAAGATACATTTTATTTACCAAATGTCACATACAACAAACATTTGCAATAGTTTAAAATAGTATACAAAAATAATGTAATATAATAAATAAAATTGAATATAAAACATACATGTATACATTATTATTAATATAATATAATAATTATATGTAACTAACAATAATAATAATAATATATTATAATAATTGTTTATAATACAATATAAAATACTTTTTCTTATCATTAAAATACAATTATAAATGCTGTTCAAAATGTAATAATATTAGGAGCATAATTAACAAATTTTAATAATGCAGGATTATACGTCAGTATTATAAAATGTCAAAAATATGATAATACAAATTTTATTAAATCAATGATTATCGATATATTAACGCAATATCAACAATAATTAGATTTACAATATCATCAATAGTTAAATCATGTTTGTTTTTAATTGTTAACTTGCGATTTATTACGTTTCATTTAATGCGATCAATATCACGGTAAAAAAGCCATTAATATATTTATCTATTATCTTAATTGTTCAACTGGTCCAACAATTTGACACAACTAAGATTTTGACATTGTTATAAGTAATAAAATCCGAAATGACCGCAATAAAAAGCAGGACGCAAGAAGCGAACCAAGCTCGCAAAACTTAGAAAGGCTAGCGTCCCGATTATTACGCGAATACAGACATATTATTATATATGTATTATTTTACTCAAATGTTCAAAATTAATATTTGAAAATTCAGAATAATATTTTTGTTCGCATTGACTAATTTTTCGAAAAATTAATTTATTTTAAAGTTTTAGGTTACTTGAAAAAGTGACACAATTAATATAAGAATACAAATCTTAACCCTTATTATACATCTTAGTTTTTGGCACCCATAATATACACGTTCGATCATTGATCGAATACATTCGTGTCCTGGATTAATTTTCATCATTTTTACAAATATATATAAATTATTAAACGATTTTTACATATGTTTTAATATTTTTAGAAGTATTTGTGTAGTTATATATTTATAACAAATTGCAGGTAAATTGTTATAATTAAATATAGTTAACAAAATGAGAAAAATGCATTGTTTCACATAAAAATGTAAAATTCTGAAACAAAGATGTTTAAAGGAAAAATATAATTAATATATCTTAAAATTAATATTCCAAACTACAAAAAAGAAAATAGTTCAAATGTCAGCTGTCTAAAAAGTTTAGTTATTGAATAACCTGAAAATATTCTTTTAATATGCATGGATGACAGTGAAGCTATTTTGCATTTACATTCTATATAATATTACAAACAATATAATATATAATATTATAATATTACTGATAACATTTAGAATAAGAGTACCGCCAAAATCGCATTTATTAAGAGCTAATATGTTGTTTTAAATTCTTTTTTTAATAATTCGAAATATTCCCGCAATACAATTAAGAATTAGTTGAAAATAAAGAAAAAAATAAAAATTGTTTAATTACAAAAAAATGTACACTCTGTACACACATTAGGTCATTGGGTGCATCCAGAAGCACGACCGCTCAGAGAGCTCTTACATCTGATTGGCATATTTTATTAGATCTAAAAATATAGATCAAACAGGTCGTGCTTCTGGATGCTCCTATTTATGACCCAGAGGTGAACTTCGGAGTTATGCCAGTTAAAGGATACGCATGAATTGAGGCCGATAACGTACAAAACTTGTTCTCTAGATGCTAAACTTTTTTTAAGAATAGAAAAGAGACTGGTATTTAACCAAGTACTCTTAGTATTTCAAAAAAAAAAAAAAAAAATGCGCAGGACACGAACGACCCAGAGGTGTGTATAATATAAGGATTAATATTGTTATAGATAACTATTGTCGTAAAAAGAAAAACATTTATCAAAAATAATTATTTCTACAATTATAAATGAGATAATATAAAGATGATTTTTACCTTGGATTTTTCTGCAAAAATTTCCTCGTGCTGATTCTACACGTATTTTGTGCGTTGCCAGTCGGGCATAGAGACAATTAAAACAAAGGCTGCTTTCCTTTTAAAAAACATAGTCGACACACTTGACACTATGATAGAATTCGAGGTGGTTTCGCAGAATACTGAGTGGATCAAGGTGGAAATCCAAATCAAAAGTTGTGTCCTTTTTTGCCAAATTCTAATTATAGGAGCTCTATTTCAAATTCGCTCACTTTTGTAATTTTCACTTCGTTTCAAAATACAGAATCGATTCCTTGATCTTAAGAATTATATAAAAGAAGCAGGATTTTTAAAGACAAACAAATAATGATAATATTCTTGATTGATATTAGGTGTACAACTTTGCTTCCGCCGTTTTCCTATAGATGGCTTTAGCGGTAAGTGGTGGTCGAAATAGATCATAGACGTCATACAATAAACTTGGGCATCTGTCAACATAACCCCATAGAAACATTAGTCGATTTGTGTCTGCATCATAAAGTTATTCTCGATTGAAAATGTCAGTTTACGAGCCAAATTCTCGTCATTTGCGGGAGGTTTTAATTTTTTGCTTCAATATGAAGAAATCTGCGGCTGAGGCTCATCGAATGCTCTCAAATACTTATGGTGAGGCCGCTATTAGTGAAAGAACGTGTCGTGAGTGGTTTCAATGCTTCAAGAACG